CTCCTGAATTTGAAGGCCGTGGAGGAGAAGAACTTGGCACAGAGATAGCAAATACCCTCTACAGAGTATTTAGCAGTGAGAGCTGTGTAGACTTGAAATCACTTTGTATTAATCCCAGAGAGCACTGCTGGGTTCTCTATGTTGATGTATTGGTAAGTAAGGAATTGAAAACCAAAATTCAAGGAGGTTTTTCAAGACACTGACTGACTTTGCATAACCACGTTCTGTTTCCCTATTAAAAAAAGCTTCTCATAATGTGATATGATGCTTCCCAGCATGGACGGCCATTTTCTTGTGAATCTACCTATAGTAGTTAATCACTACTTCCAGCTTGCTCTTTTTCTACTCTTCTTGATTCTGCTGCTCCACTGCAGAGCTAATAAAGCACTGAATGCTCCAGATCTGTCTCGGGTAGAAACCAATGGCCTTATACTGGCAAGGAAATTGCCACTAAGATGGCTAATTTTTTTTCCTTGGTAGATATAACACCAAATGTATCATTCTAATGAATGTAAGTTAGTATGGGCATACGTTAGCCCTAACATAACTGTCCATCCTGCCTCTGCACTATTATGAGTACTTGTTCAGTAAAGTAAAATAGAAACTTTTCTGGCAAAAGTTAAATTTGGCTTAGGCACTTTTTGAGGAAATTTGTATGCATTTATTGAATGCAGAAGACAAATTGAATAATTGTTCCCATTAAAAAAATGCAAACTGAATTTTATGCCTCTAAATCTTGTGCATACAACAGCTCAGTTTCCAAACTGTCTTGTACTTAAAGCGCTCTGTCATGGGAATTTAATAGAAGTCTGCAAGTCAAACTCTCTTGAGCATTATTTCCAATTCTGGTTGGTCCAAAGTTGAGTTTCTGTTTGTCAGATTTGTAGCTGAAAATATGTTGAGGGATCTTGCCCACAGGAATCCATTAATGTCTATGAAGTGATTTGCAAAATGTTAGCCTGTGTTGTTTTAAACAAAACAGGGACATTCAGACTAAGACCTAAATAAATGTGAAAATTAGTCTATTAGGTGTTTAAAAAGCAGTGGCATTAGGCTAATTATAGTAGATATGGTACATAGCGTGACTTAGTCTGCATACAGAATGGTCAAATATGTACCACTGCTGAGTGCTTTTACAGTCCTAGTCACCAGCTTATTGGAGCTTGGCATAGTTTAATAAAGAATGAAATGTTAGTTCTGAGAAATCCCACTGGGGCCTTTAGTTACTAGGTAATTACAAGCAGAGGTGCAGAATATTAAATGTTGTGCTTATTTAAGCAATGTACTGCTTAGCATTACATAAACACTGCATAAACAAAGACTTTCATGGACCTGATTTGCTGCAGAAGTAGTTCTGTATAGCTTTTGTATGAGGTGTAAATGGTCTTTATTTGATTCTTCCTGCACAAATTTGTCGATTGCCCACAGCTATGGAGGAAAACAGCCATGGCTTTTTTATGCTACTAGGTTGCATCAGAATTATGAATGTCAAGACCTATGTTTTGTGATTCCCCAAAATTCCATTTCTTTTCAGTCTCCTGAGTCCTTATCCTGAAATCTGAGGGGCTCATTCAGTCTCATTTTGAGACAGACTTTAATGCTAGCCTCTGGAAGAGATTATTTTTGGGGTACTGATTTGTGATACTAGAAATTAAACTATCATAGAAAGGTCCACGTCCTATGTGATGTCCTTACTGCCGGTCAGCACTGGAGAAGACACTCATCGTGGTCATTGATGTTGAAAGGCTGCTCTATCTGCTTTTCTCATACTTGACTTTTGGGGTTGTTCTAATACTTATTAGGGTTTGTTGGGTTTTTTTGTGGGAGTTTGTTTTTTGACTGAAACAAAGATTTATAATTTTCAAAGTGTAAAAAAAACCAGACAGATCTGAATTCTTTAACTGCATTAGATTTTGTTCATGAAATTAGGGAAGCAAGGAATATATTCATCCGAGTCTCGCCATCTGTTCCTCCACTTTGAAGTCCAGACGTGCTTTTGTTCCAGCTCGGAGAGAGGGCCTGTTTCATTGGTGCCTGTGTGGAAGACTGGATCAGATATGATCTCAAATATTATAGATTGAAATCAGTTCTCCAAATCATATGAGATGACAGTATTGCAGAACAGCCACAGCAGGTGATCCTCAGAGACTGTTACGTTGAGTTTTCTGGGGCAGATGTTAACTTACTACAAATTTCAGTGCGATCACTAAAAATATCACTGGAATGGCAGTCGCAGGAAAGGAACTTTTCTCTCTCCCTCTTCCCTACTACCATAAACCCACTATCACGGCAACTGCTCTTTGCAGAGGCAAAAGGCAAGCTAATGAGTTTTGAAAGAATGAAATGTTTTTACAATTTTTTTATGGTACTTCCTCCATTAAAGATGGAGGTACTTAAAAGATGGGTAGACATACTGCTTAGAGACATGGTTTAGTGATGTTTTTTATCAGAGTTAGGTTGATGGTTGGACTAGATGATCTTAAAGGTCCCTTCCAACCTAGAACATTTTATGATTCTATGTAGTGGATTTAGCTTGGCTTTCAAAGAGAAACACCATCTGATGCTTGAGTAAAAACTGTTTCAAACTCTATAAGCAGATGTTCTTTCCGATGTGAAGTGCAGTGACAGCTCCTGACCAGGCAGACCTGAATCAGTAAATCCATATTGGTAGAGTTGCCAGTTTGACTAGACTAAATCCAGGTTTCTTAGCCCAATTGTTTGTAGGATTATAATCATATTGGCACAGTTAGAAATCATCTGGACCTAAATTCAAATCTATCTATTTCTGGGACTGCCTTGGCAGTCCAGGTGTGTCATAAACGTGGTACCTTTTGGCTGCTTTCTGGAAGAGTGGAATATTGGTGAGGTGGTTAACTTACTGCCAATTCTAAAACAGTGAAATCTGCCTTCCTGTTTTAAATGATTCTATATTTCTTTTGGTGGAAGAATAGTAATCTGGTATTGGTTCCTTGAAGTAAATACGGCTTTAGGTGAAGAATGTCCTCTGTGTAATGAAGCCCTTGTATACCAGGAAAGTATCTGTAAACTTTTTTTTAATTAGCTGTTTTATCTCTTGTTACAATTACTTACATTGTAGATTATAGTATATTAATGGCTTGAGCAAGGGATGGGAAGTACTTAGCTACTGTGAGAGAGAAGTTTGGTAGCAGCAAGGGTTTTGAAAGTTGAGATATGTGGTACAAACTTCATTATGCTTCAGGAGTCTTGATTTTTATGCAGTGTGACAGTGGAAGGGCTTTGAAAGTCTTTAAAATTATATTCTGTTCAGGAGCTGAAATTCTGTGCTCTACTTGGCACTGCTAAGTTCTTTCTGTGCTCCAAGAAACCAAGCTTTTGGGCTTTTTATTAGTGTGCTGGACACCCCTTTTTTCAAATTTGACACTGTGTAAAGTACTACAGTAGTCCGAGCATTGGGTGGCAGTATTTACCATATAGTTAAAATAGTACTCTTCTAACAACACATTTTATTTTGCTTTGATTACAAGGAATTGAAGTGTTAAAATAAAAATGGAATTAACACGCAATGAAACCTGCAATGATATTCCAATTGAGTCTTAAGTTCTTCTTACTCTCTGTAAAAGAGTTTTGCAGAAGAACGAGTTGGGAGAATTGCTGTGGGTTAAGGATTTCTCCTATAGGTGCTGCAGTTTTGTTGATACAGCTCATTTGATGATTAAAGTCATACCTGGGTAATGTGCACCTTTAGCTGTTGTTTTTTTAAAGGTGAAGGGATTATATTCCAAGACTTTGTTTTCGGCTGTATATTTGAATTCCTGTGGTGTTCCTGGTGGAAGAGCTAATAGTTTGTATCATCATATAAACACAAACATACATGAGAAATTGGCACTGTGAGGCATCCAGGCAGGAGAATACAAGGCTTTGCTATTGTAGATTTAGAACATATCAGACTACTTCTGTGGAATCACCTGCTTTCTGTGTTCTGTAATAAGAAATTTATTTGGGGGAGGTCTGACTAGTTTATTTAAAAGCAAGATCTGCAATGTGTGCTGAGGGCTTGAGAATGCTCTTGCCTTCTCTATAAACCAAAGGCTGGTTCAGAATATTTGTTATTTTACTGTGTAGGCATCTCTGTACATTTCTGCTCTATTTTATTATGACTTGGAGGCGCATTTTTTTTATTTGTTTGGTGTTTTGGGTTGGTTTTTTTTCCGTAGGCCTTTCTTCTTTTATTGTTAGAATGTTGTTCTTAGCTGTGTGCAAGGCCTCAGCACCTGAGGACTGTATGGTTGGACTCAGTGATCTCAAAGGTCCTTTCCAACTGTGATGATTCTGTGATTCTGTGACTTTCTTGCATGACTGCTCATAACCAAAGTTTGTTATGTTGGAATCAGGGAAGTGAAGACCACACGCTTTTGTCAGATCCCTCTGGAAAAAATGTTCTTTAGTTGCTGCTCTCCATAAGCTGCAGTTGCTGAAAATAATGAGCTCCTGTCTGTAAGTGGCTTGATAGCAGGGAGCACACTCAGTAAAAAAATTACCAATTAAGGTCAGGCAGTCATGTCACTTTAAAAAAAAATATGCGTATTCTACTTGTCATATCATCACATCTTTCTCTTCTTAGTCACTCTCTTATCTTATTAATTTAACATTCAACTCTAACAGGCTGTCTTGTTAGCTGTTCTGAACTTAGTCCAGATTCCTCTCACTTTTTTATTTTTGAAAGGGTTGAGATGATAGAAGATGAGAGTGCTTAAGAAATAATCCCTGAGAGAATTCATCAACTTTAATATTGTAACTTTGGAACCGAAGATAGTAGTGGAATTTAATTAGTATCAGAGTTTGTAGCAAAATGTAGGTATATTATCTGCATCAAGACATTCTTTTATGCAAAATGGAAATAATTTCTTTACAGATAGGATGCTTATTCATGTACAAATAAATCCGTAGGTATTTCTAACGCTTTATATTTAATGTTCTTTGGGTATTGGCTGCTTCAGAAGTGAAAGTATTTTTTCTTTCTTTATCTAGTTCTGCAAATGCTACTCCTGAATTTGAAGGCCGTGGAGGAGAAGAACTTGGCACAGAGATAGCAAATACCCTCTACAGAGTATTTAGCAGTGAGAGCTGTGTAGACTTGAAATCACTTTGTATTAATCCCAGAGAGCACTGCTGGGTTCTCTATGTTGATGTATTGGTAAGTAAGGAATTGAAAACCAAAATTCAAGGAGGTTTTTCAAGACACTGACTGACTTTGCATAACCACGTTCTGTTTCCCTATTAAAAAAAGCTTCTCATAATGTGATATGATGCTTCCCAGCATGGACGGCCATTTTCTTGTGAATCTACCTATAGTAGTTAATCACTACTTCCAGCTTGCTCTTTTTCTACTCTTCTTGATTCTGCTGCTCCACTGCAGAGCTAATAAAGCACTGAATGCTCCAGATCTGTCTCGGGTAGAAACCAATGGCCTTATACTGGCAAGGAAATTGCCACTAAGATGGCTAATTTTTTTTCCTTGGTAGATATAACACCAAATGTATCATTCTAATGAATGTAAGTTAGTATGGGCATACGTTAGCCCTAACATAACTGTCCATCCTGCCTCTGCACTATTATGAGTACTTGTTCAGTAAAGTAAAATAGAAACTTTTCTGGCAAAAGTTAAATTTGGCTTAGGCACTTTTTGAGGAAATTTGTATGCATTTATTGAATGCAGAAGACAAATTGAATAATTGTTCCCATTAAAAAAATGCAAACTGAATTTTATGCCTCTAAATCTTGTGCATACAACAGCTCAGTTTCCAAACTGTCTTGTACTTAAAGCGCTCTGTCATGGGAATTTAATAGAAGTCTGCAAGTCAAACTCTCTTGAGCATTATTTCCAATTCTGGTTGGTCCAAAGTTGAGTTTCTGTTTGTCAGATTTGTAGCTGAAAATATGTTGAGGGATCTTGCCCACAGGAATCCATTAATGTCTATGAAGTGATTTGCAAAATGTTAGCCTGTGTTGTTTTAAACAAAACAGGGACATTCAGACTAAGACCTAAATAAATGTGAAAATTAGTCTATTAGGTGTTTAAAAAGCAGTGGCATTAGGCTAATTATAGTAGATATGGTACATAGCGTGACTTAGTCTGCATACAGAATGGTCAAATATGTACCACTGCTGAGTGCTTTTACAGTCCTAGTCACCAGCTTATTGGAGCTTGGCATAGTTTAATAAAGAATGAAATGTTAGTTCTGAGAAATCCCACTGGGGCCTTTAGTTACTAGGTAATTACAAGCAGAGGTGCAGAATATTAAATGTTGTGCTTATTTAAGCAATGTACTGCTTAGCATTACATAAACACTGCATAAACAAAGACTTTCATGGACCTGATTTGCTGCAGAAGTAGTTCTGTATAGCTTTTGTATGAGGTGTAAATGGTCTTTATTTGATTCTTCCTGCACAAATTTGTCGATTGCCCACAGCTATGGAGGAAAACAGCCATGGCTTTTTTATGCTACTAGGTTGCATCAGAATTATGAATGTCAAGACCTATGTTTTGTGATTAATTTTACATTTAGCTTTGTTTACAGTCCCAGTAAAGACTCTGTTGAAGGTTCATAATTAGGACTCTAATCCTGATGAGTGTTTTTAGTGTTATATTCTGCAGGAGTTTTGCATGTGAGCCTTTGAAGAGCTGCTGGTATAGTTAGAACGAAATACTTTTGTTTCTTATTCTGTTACTCCCTCTTTTTCCCCCCCCCCACCCCAGGCCTCTGTATTTTCTCATTTTTGAGGTATTTGTACTATTTCCTCTTCTTTTTTTTCCCCCACCCCAGGCCTCTGTATTTCCTCATTTTTGAGGTATTTGTACTATTTCCTCTTCTAAATAGACGTATCTCACATGTGATGGTTTTTACTTGGTGTTTACAGGTTTTCCTGAAGCCGCTCTTGCTGAACCATTCCTATAGCTCTCTATGTCTATCTCACGTGTGATGGTTTATACTTGATGTTTACAGGTTTTCCTGAAGCTGCTCTTGCTGAACCATTCCTATAGCTCTCTATTTTAATAGTACATGGTGGAAGTATGACACTTGTGCTAGTACAAGACACTAAAGGTCATATTATTCATCATTTGAGGGAAGCAGATTCTAAATATAATTACAATGCTTATTGAGAGTTCTTTGTATGATGTTTTCCTTCAGAACTCTTGGAAATTGTTCACGTTAGTCTTTGTGTTGCATAGTTAAGTTGGAGGGAAAATAAGCCTTAAATCTGTCGTGAGCCTGAAATTACTGGTACCTCGTGGTCTGATGGTGAGGTACTTGTCTTCAGGTCTCTCATTCCAAAAGACAAAAAACCAGAAAGAATGTTATGAACCTGGAGATACTCCATCACTATGTAATTTAGCCATGTGCACTTTGTTTGAAGCATCTATATTCAGCTCCTATGTGTAAACAGAATTTGAGGTAGCAACCTCAAAAGAGAAAATAGTGTATTTTGCGTGGTCATGCAGCTTGTAACTTCAAAACATATCTCAAACATTTTTCTAGTGGTCACTGTACTTGGGAGGTGTTACAATTGTGCACAGTCAGACTAGAAAGAAAATAACTTCAACTATGCACACTACAGAGATGCAGACATGGACACATAGATATGTGTTAAAGGCCAAGAATAGATACTTTGTCCTTTCAAAATACATGCATTCTTTCTTAATAATAGAAGGCGTAGCTCATGAATTATAGATATGTGTTAAAGGCCAAGAAGAGATACTTTGTCCCTTCAAAATACATGCATTCTTAATAATAGAAGGCGTAGCTCATGAATGTAGAGGTACCCTGTACTGTATAACTATAAACCTGTTCTTATTCGCTCTGTCTTTCCCTCCGTTTCTTACCCCCTCTAAGTTGCTTATATCAGAAATAAGGTTTTAGGCATTTTTGTGGGTTTTTTTGATACACATACAGCCTCCACATAATTTGCCCCAGCAGCCCGCAGTGCTAAGCAAGGACAATCAAAGTGTGCCATCTCGTTTCATTCCCTACCCATTGACAGTACATTGCGTGTTGGGTGGGTGCTATTAGTTTCTGTTGAAAGCTTAGCAATTCACTACTGAGCATCCCCCAGCAGATTTCCTCATCTTTTCTATTTCCCTCCAGTTTGGAGGAAAAAAAAAACCAGCAAGCAGCACCTTAGAAATCTGTCCTTCTGGAGGAAAATCTTTGAATAAGGCAAGGTCTACAATGTTTTCTCTTTTTTTCCGCCCCCAATAACTTTTTCATTTGTACATCAGTAAATAAAAAGTAGTCCTTCCTTTCTAAAAGCTCCTTTGCTTCCTATGATGCACAGTTGTGCAGACTTTCAAAGTCCTTAAAATAAAAAATGGGGGGTGATCTCAGTACAAGGGGCTTCAGCCGAGAAGAGAGTGTTTGTTTCTTCCTGCAGGAATTGTTGTACCGTGCTTGATGCATACAGGCTTTGTTCCTGTAGGTGCCACTGTAACACAGATAAGGCTTTAAAACAGCAGCCTGAACATAAGCCTAGCAACAGTACAGGCATATCCCATTATTGTGTTTTAATAACAAAGATATTGTGGAGCTTATTGTGTTATCCAGCAAAATCCAATAACGACTGAACGTGGCAAGTTAACCTCTCTGTATCCAGCAGCTGCTTGCATGGAAATAATTTGATCGCCTTCGTATTTAGCCTTCTACCCCAACTTTTTGTCATTCTTTTTACACAGTTAAGTCTGTCTTCATAAAAATAAACTCTCTTTGCAGAAGATCCAATTTATGATTCGCTCCCAGTGCGGGAGTTTATCTCATTCTTAAATGGATTTTGAGGAACAATCAATGCAATCAGTGTTGCAAAACTGTTTTTTCTCTCATCATACAGCATAGATTGATGTAATGGAGAAGCACCCGTATGCTTTTGTTGAAGTAGTTTCAGATGCTTGCTGGGGATGTGTGTGTGTTCATAGAATAGTGCTGGCAGCTCAGAGTGGGGCTTCTCAAGAACTAACACCAGGCTATGGACAAATAGATCTTTGAGTTGTCTGCCAGCCTATAAAAGGTATTAGTGGTTTTGAGAGCCCTGCCTTTTTATATAGTATGCAGTGCTGTTCTCCTGATCTTCATGGGACAAAACTAAGCTAGACTCCTTCCATGCATTAATTCAAATGATAGTGTCATCAGCAAGTAGGCTTTGACATCAGGGTTTCCTTAAACAAACCTGCTGATGACTCCTTTTCCATAAAAAACAGAGAATAAATAATGATGTGCCTTCATATCTATACCTTTTCATACCATGTTTTGAGTGACAATTTCTGTTGCTTCTTGGAAAACAATTCTACCAGTCGGGTTGTGCAGCTAGTATTTTAAAAAGACTCCTCTTTGAAATAAAGTACAGAGAATGGACTGGCTTGATTTAACATTAAGGAATGAATATGGTGAGTTTATAAAAAGTATTCTGGTCATAGTCTAGTTCAGAGCCTTAAAACAGTGGTGGTTTGAATTAATCTGCTATTAATTTTTGTCATTAATTGTATTATGAAGTGTGTTAACTCTTCTGTTTTGCATGTAGAATACAGTTAGCTGAAATCTTATTTTCCTATCTTTTTTTTTATTTTCATAGATAGGCTTCAAAGATAACTTTGTTTTTTAAAACCTGTTCAGTTTCCTAATTTTCTGCTGTTTCATGTAGGTCTAAGTAAAATAAAGACTTGGTTTGAAGGCACTAGCCTGATTTTCTTTTAAAGACATTCTTTTTTTTCTTCCCCAGTTACTGGAATGTGGTGGCAACCTCCTTGATGCAATCTCTATCGCAGTGAAGGCAGCTCTCTTTAATACAAGGTAAAGCACAGATCTCATTTTGTGTGAGTGAAAGTGACATGGGAAGAGAAAGAGAAGTACTTTCTGGGAGCTAAGCATTTTTAATGCTTAATTATGTAAATAATAAATATCCAAGGCAACTTGCATTCAGACACAAAGCCGTCCATTTGCATGCAAGTAACATGAACTAATGACTTTTAAATCAGTTTCTAATAATCAAGTGTCATATTGCATTATATGCACAATCAGGCTCAATATAACTTTTGTTCTGTATCTAGATCCAGAAAAAATTGTCTTGACCATATGGTTTTGTTGCAAGTGGTTAGAGACCTTTGTGTTGATGCCTTGTGGGTTTAAAATAAGAAGTATTTACTGATATGTGGTGCTCCTGAATAAGAAGCTGTCTGTCAATGTGACTCCCTGTTTGTAACTAGCCCTGTTTTCCCACTTCTGATGTTTGTTCTTTCTTATTAACTGTTAGTCTAGAGTTCTTTTTAAAGCTCAGAGGAAAAACTGGTGGTGAGAGATTGTGGAGAGGGGGAGATGATGTGTCTTTAAAAGAGCATTTTAATTCAAAGAATGGAAGAGCAAAATCTAGTAGAATGAATGATGCAAGTGCTCTGTGTGTGTTTTAATGATAACATTCAATAATATTTTTTCCAGTGTTTTTACCTTCTTAATCTATAGATGAAAGGGAATACAGAGTTTTTTGTAGCACCCTTAAGAAAGAAACTAATGAATGGCTTTGCTAAAAAACTTCTGTAGCAAAAGTATCTGGAAAAGGTGCAAAAGTTAGACTCTTACAGGCATAAATGTTCGGAAAGTGGATCTCAAATTGTTTTTCAGCTGTAAATTAGAGATGCTAATGTCACTGGCATAGTTCTGGCTTATTCATCAGAGAATCAGAGCACAGTAGTGAAGCTGGAAAAATAAGTGCTAAAAGAAGAGGGACAGACACTTTTGAAGACAGGCGGTATATCAGGGTATAAACACTTCAAAGGGGAGTAAGGGGAGAATCCATCCAAGACTACAACTTGCTGAGAAATTTAATCAAGTTCTCAACAGTAACTTTTAACAGTAGATTGGTTTTGGAGCATTAAGAAACACTGTTACAAATGTAATGGCTCACCAAAGAGTCGACAGTACACTGAAGGGAAGAAATCCCCATGGCTCTGTGTGTGAGATGCCAGGATGCTAAAGTCGTAGAGTTAAAAAAGTAGCTCCCATGTGAGTTGTTCTGCAGATCCAAGGCTCATACTTTATTTACAAGACAACTAGGTCTTACTTCATCCGGAATCCTAATTCTGAAAGAAGAGAGAAGTATAAAAAGTCATTTAAATGAATAAATAAATAAAAATCTGTTGCCTTGGGAACATGGGCAACACGGAGAGTATAATTGTTTTAACGATTCTGCTTTATTTTTATTCTTCTGAAAACTGTATCTTTCATATAATCTTTAATCTATGGGCAAGCATCCACAGTCTTGTCAAGTCAGATATCAAATCAAAATGGGGTACAGTATGACATAATGCAAAACCTGTTGGTTTTTGACCTGTGAAAACACTGTCTATTGATTTGAGCAGGGAAAGCTAGTATGTCTCATCTCATATGAGCTCAGAAAGTCAAGAGGTGAAATTCAAAATGAAAACCTGTTGTCCTTGTTCACTATTCCTCTCCCTTTCCTTTGGTACCTACTAAGTTTTCTTTGGATTGACACAAGGTTGTTTAGAGTAACTCCCTGCTCTTCATAAAATATTGTCCCAGCAAGACAAGATGTCAGTTTGAAGGTCACTTCAGATTAAGTGTTCTGAACTTCACATGACATGTGTGTCCCTCTTTAGGTCTTACTTGCCTTTCATAATCTGTTTACAACCAGGTTTTTGTTGTAAGTGTTTTCAGATCTTTGTCAGCCTTGACTGTAGCCTTGGAACAAAGAACAGGGAGCTCAAGCTGCTGTTTTTTCTTTGAAGCTACAAATTTTCAGATGTTCAAATGGGCGTTTGAAAACCTCAGCTTCATCCTTAAAATCTTGCTCTAACCATTTTTATGATAGCTGTGGACAAGTTTTTCTCTAGCACTAAGTAAATGCAAAGCCGTAACTGAAGGAATTTTGCAGAAGAATTATGGGATTTAGATCCTTTGTATGTCTAACCTGACTCATCCCATCCCCTTCAGGCATGGAACAATAACAATATGACTGTTTTAGGGGAAGCATTTACTCCTTGGAGTTTTGTACTGTTTATTATATTCAGAAAACTACATCAAGATCATGTGCAAAAGATAGCAGGTATCAAATTTGCTTCTTAACTGTGTTTTCAAGGTGCTTAAGGCTATCCATGATTGAAGTACATACTGCAAAACGTTCAAGTAGCTTCTGTGTCAGGACTTAGTATTAAACTTGATCCTGTGGAATGTGCCTACTTGCAACCAAGACAACAGAAACTGGGCAAGTTACAAAAGCTACAGAGCTTATAACACAATAGCCTTGAAGATGTCGTAGGGTTTTTTTGCTGGGCAGCATGGTAGAGACAGAACTGATGCCTGCTTGCGAGGGTAGAACTGGTTGTGCAGTTGGGAAGTCTGGGTCTGCAGCACACAAAAAAGAGCATTGTTCATTACATGACTAAGTCCTGCTGTACAGATTTCTGCCCTGATTAGTTGCAGGAATCAAAACAGAAAAATAAAAGTTGCAAAGTAAACATGTACAGCTAGTTCTTCAGATAAATCTTCATAAGCCGGGTGAGGAAATCTGCAGTTTTCTGGAAATACTTTTTGTGCTATGCTCTTTTTGCCTGGTTTTTCTGTGTATACACCCCCTTTTTATGCAATGAAGATGCTTGTGCCTAATCAGCTATCTTTTTGCTTCTGCAGTAGTTCTAATGTGTACTTCTGTCATCTGTTCTTGGCCAAAACAGCTCTTTGCAAGGATTTTGCAGGTATTAATTCTGGCAAGTTTTTCTTGCAGACCAAACATCTCTCTGGTTTCATAGCTATTTTAGGACAGAGTTAAAAATTTCTTCATCTCACAGATTTTCTTGAAATCTTCGTTCTTTTTTAAGCACTGCTCTGGCACATAGACTTTTTGTCTAGGCTGTTGTCCAGTGTTCTTTATTGTCCTGTGTGGCTAGAGGGTTAGTCACCTTGTGACTTTATTCCATCAATTTTTAATGGATTATTTTTAACTTGAAAACAGGCTTTAAAATACATTTCCAATGAGCTGTTATGTAACACTGCAAAGCATTTTTTGAGTTTCATGTCAGGAAAAAGTACACATCGTAGTTGCTACTGAAAGTTTTAGTTTTGGCTTGGCTCAGGCCGATGTTGTTGTAGGGAATTTGTTCTCACTGAGGCAGAGTTAGCTGTTGTGAAGTACTTGCATCTAGGACTCTTAGCCACAAATAACTAAAATGCTCTCCCAGGGAACAATAAAACAGGGAAACTTTAATAAATCAGTCTCTATCTCCTCCTCTTTTAAGAGATTTGGTACAGAACACATAAAAGAATGTGACCTCCAGAGTCTAGTTATAAAACACAATGCTACTGTAAAAGTACTAATATAAAAACAGATTGTGGTTACATTCTACACAGTTACTGAAGTTAGCTTTCTAGGGAAGGGAAGTTTTGACATATTTTATGTTTTCAAGTGCAAATGTGTAAAATTGAGAGCAGTATGGTTGAGCTGTGTGTGGGTTGTACTGGCAGGTGAAGCAAAGTCTCTCAGTGAGCGTTCTATCCTGGTGGGCATCTGGATAAACAAGAGCATATAAGACACTGAGTTTTTTGACTTCTTGAGATACCATCTTCTAGTAAATCGTTTTAAATTGTGCTAAGAAAACTGCATTAAATCATCCTCTAAAACTCCCATTAAATGACTGTAACAAGTACAATATATAAGGATATATAAGCACTGATACATAAGCACTGATAAGGAGCCTGTCTAGCTCATCTGTGAGAAAGCTTGTCGCTCACAATTGAGAAGAAAGCATTTCTTGGATTTTTTTCTCCCTGGTGGTTGCTTTTTTGTATCTGTCCTTAGAACAGTAGTCTTCTGCCTTCTTGAAGAATGAGAGTATCTTCCCAATCTTCCTATCTTGCTAAAGAGAAAGTAGTTTACTAATGTCATCTTCTTCCTTTACCCCAAATCTCCTTAGTGTCATTCTTTCCTGAGTGGCTTTACTACTGGTGTTTGCTACTGGTGTCACAGCTTTGCCAAGGAATGCAATTGACATAATTCTGACAACTTCATTGTTATCTGCCAGATCAGGAACCACAGTGCAAAAAGATTCAGTCTTGGTAACTGTTAATTTCCTTCCTGTACATCCAGACAGATGTACAAAGAATTGTTCAGAATTGCATTGTTCAAGTTTGAAAAGAATCTCTCCCCATGTATTAGTGTAAAAACAAGTTCAGATTCTAACAGTTTGAATTAGGTAAACATGATGGTCTTATCCTAAATTCCTTATCACTATATTTTCTTCCTAGTCTCAGTGAGTGAGTTGTTAATACTTCGATACCTTAATGGATTTTTTCCTAAACATTTGGCCTCATTTAGAGGAACGGGCACTTCTTGGAGTTGAGGCTGTATGACACCTGTATTTTGTTTCCACAGGATACCCAAAGTGCGTGTTCTGGAGGATGAAGAAGGTTCTAAAGAGATTGAGCTGTCTGATGACCCTTATGATTGTATTCGGCTTAACGTGGATAATGTGCCCTGCATTGTCACACTAAGCAAAGTAAGCCTAACAAATTTCTGATTTTTTACACTTCAGTTTCTGTTGACTTCACTTGCCATTTATTTTTTCCCTAGAGATAAAACTTTGGTTACAGAAATGGTCAATGCCCACAGTGTATATGTTTGTTTATGCCTGGCCCCCTACTTCAGAAGAACTTTTACAAAATAAGGGTTTTTTCCCTCCTCTGACTTGTGGGTTTCCACCTGATGCATTTTAAAATGCATCCTGCATGCAGAAGAGTTATTTATTGCTTTTCCTCTACTCCTCACTCAACATCCAGAGGAGCAGACACTTTAGCATGTTAAAACAAGTGGGTATTGTTGTGAGGCACAGAGGTTGTGTGATCTGCCTAGAGTTACACAATAAGTATTTGTAGCTGGGCACAGAACTCTGTTTTCCTGCGTGCAGTACTGTCCTTTCCTTTCAAACAAGTTTTTTGTTTTCCTTTTCCATATATAGCCCGCAACTAACGCAGTTGATTTGCTGGATGCTGCATTCCCCAATGCAAGAGTTAGTGATTTGCTTAGTTACCCAGAAGTTTGTCTGACCTGTCTTTTAAATGAGTTTCATAAATAGTAGAAACATCACCGCTGAAGTGGGGACTCACCTGAGTCTTGGGGTGTGCAATTTTCACCCCGCGAGGAGGAAAGTCCCTGCTTGAATTTGGCAGGAAAGGGGAATCTGGACTTTCATATAGTTAAAGGGATGATCAGAGAGGAAAGCAGTGTGAAATAGTGACATGCTTATCTCACCTCTGTTATGTATGCACGCATAATTTGGGGTCAGAGGCTGTTTAAGTCCTGTGCTGTCAAGTCAGTTGCATGGTATTAGGGTGGGAGGCTGTAGAGAGCCAGCAGAGCTGCTACTCACAGTTTAACTTCTTAATAAAGACCTGCAAACTAATACATTGTTTTGTCACTAACCTACAGATTGGATATAGGCATGTGGTGGATGCTACCCTTCAGGAAGAAGCTTGTTCCTTGGCCAGCCTGCTTATTTCTGTGACCAGTAAAGGCGCCCTCACTTCTATGAAGAAAGTGGGGAAAGGCAGCCTTGATCCTGAGAGTATTTTTGAAATGATGGAGGTAAGGAGTTTGGAGCCGTTAGTGACAATACTGAATGATACTGGATGAACTGGAACTTGAGTATATGAAAAGCTGCAGTAAGGGCTTGAAGAGCAGAGACCCTGATGCTTTTATTAGGTGCACAAGGGACTTAACTGAAGGTCACAGACAGTTCCTTTGAAACAGAATCTGAATCTGAATGGAAGTTACCTAAAACTTTTTAGATGCCTGAAATGTATGGTACTTAACAGTTGTTTTAGTCAAATACCTCACAGCTGTAAAGCTTAAGTTCATAAACTTTGAGAGTATTTTTAGAGAACTATGTTCCCCCTCTCATTGTTTCCCTTAAAGACTGAAAGATCAAAACTTCTAACATGGTAAAGTCCCTATAGAAGTAGAGACTTGAATTGCTAGCGCACGGTGTTCTAGCACAACTCATTTGTTCTGTGATAAGCTTGCTGTTCTTGCTTTACTGTTGTTTTTCTTTGCTCCTTTACTGGATTTATGATCTGGCCCTACTCTATGAAAGTACCAGTGTCAGGATGTTGTTCACATCCCCATAAGAACTCCATTTTAAACCTTTCTTCAGACTCTTCTTAAAACTGTCTTCCAGTATAAATTCTCCTGACTGGGTTTGGCCTTGAGCATGAGAGAGAACTGGGTTTTGAACTTGGAGTCAGAATGAAAAATACTTCCAACTGGCTCTGTTTCCTAGAGATCTAGAACTAATTTCAGCACGGCTGTAGTGAGGAATGCAGAACTTGGAGCCAAGTTTGAAAACACTTGGTCTCAAGTGGAAATTCTCTGCTGAGTATATATGGCACTTCACTCTTGTTTCATGATGTCAATCCAGAGTGCTAATCTTGGTGGTACTTGTGGGCTTTTTATTTGCATCCAGAGAGGTCACTCACTCCCCCTTATCATCTTTGTAGATATGCAGAGGGGCGTTATCTCTAACTTGGCATGCTAAAGAAACCAGACTTCCTATGGACATCTGATGTGTCTTGCTTGATGGGTTTTGAGTCCAATTCTAACCGACTGTCATAGAAGACTTGAGATTTTGAGTCTTGATCTGCTACAAAAAGATGGCTGCTTAAGTTAGATACATGTTCATGATAGAAGGTGGCCCACGAGCAATTTATTTGCAGAAAACTTTGATCAGAGTTTCTGATCAAAGAAGCTTTTGTTCAGATTCTGCTTTACATTGAGCTCTAAATAGAAAATGAACTTCTGCAGTTCCACTGTATACCCTGCCCCCAAAGGCTGTGCTTGGGATTGTATCATGCTCATTTTAACACTAATCAGAGATGCAAATGGCAGGTAACCATGGGATATCTCCAAACTGGCCTACTCAGCTTAAGAGCTTTAGTGAACTTGTCCCTGCTTGTTGGTGCAAGGAGTTAAGAACTTCAGCTGATCACCCAGTGAGTTGTGCTCTCTCTCACGTCCTTTGGAAGAAGTCTTCCCTCCTGGGTGGTGAGCAGTTTGAAGAAGTGAGGGATAAAGCTGATGAGAAGAAACCATGATTCTGTGTTTTCTGAGAGCTCAGAGATGATCTGTTTGGACCTGCCTCAAACTCAGCAGCCTGATGAGGATACCAAGAAAAACAAAAAGGCCTGGGAATGTCCAGTGGAGGAGCTGCATAACCCTTGCTTGACACCTCCATTCCCTTGTGATTTGGCTGCAGATCAGAGGGTGTTCAGTTTTCCCTGACTGGTAGACAACAGATGTTGCTAGGACATATCTCTTAGGAAGGCAGCTTCATGGGAAAGTTTTGGGAAGCTGCCAGCACAAGGCTTTTTTTACTGAGTTTATGATCCGATCCATAAGAGAGGCAAGCAGGAGTAAGATGGCAACAGTGTTGTGTGTCATGTCAGTACCAAGGCTCTGCGCAGTTCCCATTCACTTTGACCTGGTGTGAATGATGTTGTCCTATGCTTGAGGAGAAGAATAAGTGGAAGGTATCACCCCTCAGGACTCCAGATGCTGCTGTGAGCTTTGTCCCAGGACAGAGCTGTAACAATTCTTGTGTGTGCCCCCCTTTATTTAGCATTTAGCTCATACTGTCTAGGATTGACAGCTACCCTGCTGCTTCAAAGCTCTTCCCAAATTTCCTTTGGTCCTACGGGCCATATTCTGTCACCTGGTTCTTCGATTAGAAATGTGCCTTATTTTAAGGTTTGTATACCCACGTTGTTGGCAGTTGTCATCAACAGGTCAAAGAGAGCTTTGTGCTCAGCTGTATGGCAGCCCATAGGCAACGTTGCATAGATCAGGAGCTAATCAACTCAATTTAATATAATCTGTCTTTGGCTCTTTAGGGACAGGTGGCCTCTCTTCACCTCTGTGTGGAGTCAGTATTTCAGGTCACTTAGAGAAACCCTGGGAAGGTTCTAATAGTCACCACTACCCTGAGATCTTTATTTGCCCAATGTTTCCCTGTCATGCAGCTTCCACAGTAAAATTGTGCATGTGGGAAGAGCAGAGGCTCGTGGCGCAGCTAATCCTGGTGGTTTTCCACTTCTGGAGTTTATTTCTATAAACAAAACCTTTGTTAACTCCTTTAAGGTCCTTGGACAGTACAGAATTGCATATTATAATGAAGAATCTGCCCACAAACTGATTTGGTGATGCAGCCAGTGTGCATTTTGGGCTTCTCTGGCCACGTGACGGGGTCTAAATTCAGTCTGCTGATTCTGAGCACATTCAGAAGAGTTTACTGAACTTTGGGTTAGTAGGCTGTTTTGCTGGTCAGATATCTTTTGTCCTCTGGCAGCTACCATATTCTTTCATATTGTGTGTGCTGGCTAATTTCAATGTGTGCTCGTGCCTGCTGCAAATTTCATTTGTATTCCTGGGTGATCCAGCGGTGCGCAGATCTGGTGTTCATGGTCATGGAATGCTTCTCTGATCAATGGGAGCACTGCCTTTACGTGTACATTTTTTCCAAAACTTAATCCAATTAAAATGAAACTTCCACCACCATTTTTCTTAAAAGCATGTTTGTATTATACCAGCTGTTGTATATTAATCATTAAAGGGAAAATCTTTGTCAAAAGGAAATGTTCCATGAGAGTTGTCTTCCTGTTAATAAGCATATGTCTCAGATTTGTTTTGCTTTCTTTGCATTGCAGACGGGAAAAAGAGTAGGCAAGTCATTGCACGTTGCCCTTCAGAAGATTTTGGATGAAGAAGAGAGTTTGGGGACCTCACGGCAGAAAGTTGGATTTCTAGGATGAGTTTTTATTAAACGTTCAAAACTGTTTTTAATTGATTGTGCAATCCTTGTCACTTTGTATATAGAAAAAGGTTTTTGGGTTTTTTTTTGTTCCAGTACCTTTATCCTTCTGGCTGAGAGACTTTTAAAAAATGTTACTAAGCATAAAGAAAGCTACAGTTAAATGCGAGCAAGCAAATTTGAGATGTTTTCCATCTGGGTAGCTGTCGGCACCTAGGAAGTGTGCAATTGATGCAGTTGCCTGGGAAGTGCTTGTGTCTGTTTTCAAGAGCCACTGGTGTAGGTTCTGCTTAATTCTGTTTCCTTGTGCTCCACTCACTTCTGCAGAGCAGCTGCTGTGTTCAAGGGTGTGTATGGGGGTGTCCTCAGTGCAGCATAAGTCAGGTTTTGAGCCTCTTGAAGTTTTTTTTTTGGGTCACCAGACAGATGAGAACAGCACTTTTTAAAGAAGGAATTCTTCCTTTAAATTATCTTACTTTGAATAAAGTGTGGTTACGTTTTGCTATAAATATGTGGTCCAAAGTTTCTAATTCATATTTTAAACCGAGATTTCTTTGCTTACAAGAACTCTGCCTGTCCCTTTTGCCAACAGGTACAATAGTAACCTAGCCAAAACCTCACCCAGTGGCTAGGGAGAAGGAGAATGGCTAAGGTAGAAGGGAAAATAAGTTAATTTTTTCGGAGTTTGATAATTCAGCCACTACTGTAATGAGCAGGCAGGTTTAAAAACATAGAAAATAAAAAAATTGTCCTACCAAATTTGCCCAAGATGTCTGTTTTGAAGACATGGGATTTTTTTTAGTGCCTTAAGTAATGGGTTAGGTATATTATGATAGTGTTACATAGTAATACGGGCAAGAAGTGAGAATGATTATATATATATATATATATAAAATCTTTAATTACTCCAGTGGATTCATACAATGTGAAGCAAAGGCTAACCTGGACATCAGCTTTACAGTAGCTGTGATCCATTCCTTGCCACGCAAAGCTACTTGTAGGAATATAGAAAGAAAACTGAAGGGAGAAAAAACATTTACAATACCTTAGACTTAACCACAGGCAGTTTTTCTTTGGTCATGTATTGTTTAGTGTTTCAGAAAATGCTTTGTCTAAATGAGGATTGTGAGTCTTAAACCACAAATGTTCTCTGAATAGCGGTTGCCTGTTTTATTACAGATTTGTAGTTGGATACCAAAAGGCTGCCCAGAGTTACTTCCAGGGTGAATTTTGTAACATGGTAATAATAGAGAATTTCTGCGTAGCCTTCCAGCTGAAGGATCTCCAAGCGTTTTGCAAGTTACATCATTTAAGATGCTTCTTTTACCCTGTCCAGATCCCTTTAATTTTAAATAGTTTGTTATGGGAGCTGGGGTGGGGGGAGAAGAAACCTCACTGTATCAAGCCTGTTAAGTGACACCTCCGTGGAGATGAATGTATTTGCATTCCCTCTCTACTTCTTACTAAGCATGGCAAATATTTAGCCCGTCTGAGATCTAGCCTATGTGCTCAAGGTACCTAAAAAGCAAACTCTTGCTACCTGAGCATCCATCTCTGCTGCCAGCACAGGGAAGCTTGTGGAGCAGCTGTTTATACAAAAATGACTACCCCAGTCACAAAATACTTGCTGCCAAGCACTTTCTGACAGTGTAAGTATAAATTAACATGGTGCAAGTATCTGCAGTGCCTCCTCTAACCAAGCATCTCTTCCCCCAGGGCTTCTGGAGCTGTGTAAGCAGGCACAGAATGAATTGGGTGCCTTCAAGGGGTCCTATTCCTTCCACACTCACTACCTTGCTCTCTGTTAGCATGGCCAAGCAGTGGGGTGGAGTGTGGTTCCAGTTCAGGCTAAGGCTGCTTCTACCCCTGAGATATAAATAGTGAGCCCAGCCAAAAGTATTACGCAGCTGCCCCTGGAGGTTTGCTGCCACCAACTTGTATCCCAAGTGGATAAACAAAGCTCCAACAGGGGTAAAAGCTCTCCCAGTTGATACAACATCTGCCAAGAAATCTTTGAGACCATGGTTCTCAGGCATGCTAAGGGCTGCGCTGCCCATTTCTATTTTCTTGGCTCTCTTTAACCCCTCCCTTCCATCCCAAACAAAAATAGCAGTTAGATTTTTAATAGAGGCTTCAACCGAGACTGCTCCTGTTCCCATCTGGGCTGGTGGAAAGTTCCATGTGTTGCTGTGCAGATATTGCCACGTTTTCATTGACTCGAGTCCAGTAGAACTAAGAGGAAACATCTGCAGGGCAGGATAGCTCTCTGTTTGTCCCAGAAATTAATTGCTTCTGCTGGGAGTGTCGAGAAGCTGAAAGCTGTGTGCTAGAGATGAGGAGTCTAGCAACTCCTGCTAGGCTTCTACTCGTGTTTCCCAAAATACACTCTGTGCAATTTACCTTTTTTTTTCTTTTTTCCTTCCTTCCCCAAGTATCCCAGCCTAAAGGTCTGTTTGACAGAGAGAACCCCCATGAAGCAGGAGAGGGCCAAGGCAGTAGATCAGTAGACATGGCTGATTTGCTTCTCGTCTTCCTCCAGATCAGTGTTTACATTTAGGGTGATGCACAGATTATTTACCAAGCCCGGGAATCTCATCAACCAACGTTTCACAACTTACAGTAACGGTTCAACATTGCAATTGTGTAGTTTGGGGAGGAGAAGGGGAGCTTGTGTGGCCCTGGGGATGGGGATTAAGGCAACGGGGAGGAGAGGTGCTATGCCAGACGCAGTTGGGCTTCATAAAAACTTGCTTCAGCACAGCCTGTTGTAGAGACACGTTAGTGGGAACCAGAGCTCACTTTTTTTTTTTGAGGGACTCAGTATCTTGATTTGATGTAGATAATATCTCATGGAGTTTCTGTCTGTTCTCTGCAAATAGGGATTAAATGGGATTTACTACCTTGTGCGAGGACTGCCTCCAACTTTTCTTTTAAACTTCAGCAGATGCTGTTTCCCTCCTCAACGTAGGGATGTTCTCCAGCCCCGCTGTGGCACTGCTTTACTTTGCCTGTAATAAGCAGCCAGGGAGCCCCAGAGCTGGGGGAAGAAGTCAGCAAGACTTGGTAAGACCTGAGGGGAGAGCACTCTAGTCCTTACCCCAGACCTTTGTTCCCTCGTAGAATGGTTTGGGTTGGAAGGGACCTTCTAGATCACCTAGTTCCACCCTCCCTGCCCTGGGCAGGGACACCTCCCACCAGACCAGGTTGCTCAAAGCCCCCTCCAGCCTGGTCTTACAGGGCTGGGGCAGCCACAGCTTCTCTGGGCAACCTGTTCCAGTGCCTCACCACCCTCCTTTCTGTGAACACGCTTGAGCACAGTGGCAGAGAAGGCCTGCAGCTGAGACTGAAGCTCTTCAGCTGTCAACTTCCATGCTGTCGTTCCTCCCTGCTCCCCAGCTCCTCATCTCCTAGTATATTCCTGCCTGTTGGCACTGGTGTGAGGCAGCTGTTCCCTCTGAGCCAAAACGCGGATGCTCCCGTGGCTGTGCCTGCTCCCTGCTGTCAGGGATGCACCTGCCAGGGGTTGGTTTCAGGCTGGCACTTTTAATACCTGATCCCTTGCTCCTTTGAAGCCCAGGTCTCCCAGTCATAGTGCTCGGCCACCACAGGGCACTTTGGTACCCAACTGCCTGCAGAGAGGCTGCAGTGCCTCATTTTCCCCTTGGATCAGCTGCATTTCTAGCTATCCGGTAACAAAGACCTTTTTGCTGTTCCTGCAGAACGTTAGCATCTCAAATGTACTGCTAATTACTCCCTGGTGGTGGTTTCAACCTCAATTTCATCAACCGGAACACTTTTTAATAAGGCTGTGGTTATCGTACGAGCTCTACGAGCGCCTCTGTTGCTGTCCTGTTCTCAGCATCAGGGTAAGATCAGCGTCAGGAGAAGATGAGCACTCCTGAGCTTTCATGTCAAGTTCTGTAGATCAGATTTGATCTCCCTGATTGAGAAGATCATAGTTTCTGTGGCCACTTAGCTAATACCTTGGGAAGGGAAAAAGGAAATTAAATCTAAAGCCACTTTCTGACATACAGAGGCCTCCTCCACCCAGCTGGCGTGGCGGGGACAGCAGCAGAGCCAGTTGTGCTTGGGCATTGGAGGTGGCCAGAGACACCAGCCTGCAGGCCCACTCTCCCTCCCAGGACAGCTCTCTCCCACGTGTTCTTGCTATGTTTTGGCAAACAGTAAGTTTTGGTATTTCTGGGATTGGAAACCTATGGGTTAAAAAGTCAGGATTTAAGTCCTGCTTCTCTCCTTTTCCCCCCAGAGAGAGACCAACTTTAATCTGACGAGGCTTTTCGAGGGCATGGATTGCTTTCTTCCTGCTGTCTGATCACACAATCTTTTCTCTATTTTGAAAAAATTAAGGCATTTCTAAGGCCGATGCTGAAATCTTTACAGTCCCTAATTCGGCATGCTCAGCCACGTGAAAGCAAGCCAGTCGCTCAAAGGTGAGAACAACAGGCAGCAAGATCATAAGCTGGCAGAGCCACTGTCTGCCTGCCCGTCCTAAAATTAAAACTGACTTCAGTTTCAACAGTGACTTCACTTGAGCTGGTGCCGAGACAGACAGTTCCGTGCAGGCTGCTCAGCAATCCTGCACAACTAGGAATTTCTCCAGAGTTCTGGTGTTAGATTTAGAACCCTTGACTACAGTTTTCCTTTGGATGGGTGGACTTTGGGACAGGGATGATGGGCAGAAAAGCGAAGTGGTGAAGACAGCCAGGTTTACCCCTAGCCCGCAGGAGCTGTGTGCTTCATGCAGAAGGGAGGGTGAGTCTTTTGATGCAGCTCTTCTTGGGAGGATTTTGAGCAGCTGGTAGCACTTCAACTCCAGTTCTCCACATTTTGGTCTGGTTCAAGGCCTGGGCATCTCCTTTAGCACAGATCCTTCTGTCCTGTGCCCCTTGGTGAGCGTGGGGCAGGGATGTGAGCTGTGCTTGCCATGGGGTGTGATGGGACGGCTCCCTCATGAGGCTCAGAGCCAGTTTCCTAATGTTGGTGCTGGGGATAACACTTTGGCAAAGTGCTGACTCCTTGGGTTTCCCCATCATTGTCCTTACAAATACCGCCTTTTCCTGAACTATTTATCGCATTTCTTCTCGATTGGTCTCAAAAACAATGATCCATAGATTCGGCCTTTTTCCATTTTAACCTGTTCTGGTGTTTATGCTGGTGGAAATGAGGAATGATGCCAGCAGAAGTTCAGGCAGCGGCTAATTAATATCAGAGGACTTCTTCTGCTAGCCCCACTTCTCACAGCATGTTTTTTACTGGCCACCGCTGGTTTCTCTCTTACTCCTCTTTGAGGTTACTGTGGTGCCGGAGACACGGATCATAGAATCATAGAATTGCCCAGGCCGGAAGGGACCTCCAAAGGTCATCTAGTCCGACCTCCCCGCAGTCAGCAGGGACACCCCCAACTAGACCAGGTTGCCCAGGGCCTCGTCGAGCCTCTCCTTGAATATCTCCAGGGAAGGGGCCTCAACCACCTCCCTGGGCAACCTGTTCCAGTGCTCCACCACCCTCACAGTGAAGAACCCTCTCCTCATCTCCAGTCTAAATCTGTTCCCCTCCAGCTTGAAGCCATTGCCCCTTGTCCTGTCACTGCAGGCCTTTCTAAACAGGCTCTCCCCAGCCTTCCTGTAGGCTCCCTTCAGGTACTGGAAGGCTGCTATTAGGTCTCCCTGGAGCCTCCTCTTCTCCAGGCTGAACAACCCCAGCTCCCTCAGCCTGTCCTCGTAGCAGAGGTGCTCCATCCCCCTGATCATCCTTGTGGCCCTCCTCTGGACCCTCTCCATCAGGTCCATGTCCTTCTTATATTGAGGGCTCCAGATCTGCACACAATACTCCAGGTGAGGTCTCACCAGAGCAGAGTAAAGTGGAAGAATCACCTCTCTGGACCCTCTAGCAATGCATCTTTTGATGCAGCCCAGGATGCGATTGCCCTTCTGGGCTGCAAGTGCCCACTGCCTGCTCATGTCCAGCTTCTCATCCACCAGCACCCCCAAGTCCCTTTCCTCAGGGCTGCTTTCCAATACCTCACCCCCTAGCCTGTACTGATAGGGAGGATTGTTCCGGCCCAGGTGCAGAACCTTGCATTTGCTCTTGTTGAACCTCATGAGGTTCACCTGGGCCCACCTCTCCAGCCTGTATTCGGTGAAGGCAGCAGAGGTATGAAACCCTGCCTGCTGCCCCGGCCGTGGGTCAAGCCACCGAGATACACGGCCCCATGTGTAAAGACACTTCTGGGTCTCCCCTCTGCATTCCTGTTGTCAGCACTGGTGGGAAAGGTTGGAGCCTTCCCACAGGAGTTGGGCTGCAGGCAAAGAGCAAGAATGGTTTGGTGTTGTGGTGGCCTGCCTTTGAACCACTAACTTAGACTTGAAAAGCCTGGGCTGGTGATTGCCTGTCTTGATTAACAGCCGTGTGAATGCTGTTATCTAGTCCACCCTTCCACTTTCCAGCCATTGTGCGGTGGCGCTGCCTCATTTCTTGGCTTGGTGGTACCTGCTCATTTCCTAGGAGCTAAATCAAAATAGCCTCTGATCTCGCTGCCCGTTTCCTTGCCTAGCTGGGCACGAAATCACAGGCCTGCGTCTTTGCCAGGAGCATCCAGCTTCCTTTCGTGAGCTTATTCCAGCCACTGTTTTGCTAACTGAAAGCCTTCCAAATTCAGCATCGCAGCCTACTTATTGGGTTTCCCAAAGCCACGTAAACTTCTCTGAACTGCTTTCCTGCGGCCCTGGGACAGTTTCCATAAGCATACATTCTTCTGCCCCCTTTTTTTTCATCAAACCAGTTTCTTTAAGAGCTGACAGGAGCTACTGTCAGTCTGACCAGGAGACTGGGCATGAAACCAGGGAGTAAAGTGCTTTTACTGGCAAGTAAAATCCATAGTTGTACAGATTTAAAAAATCAGGGAGAAAACTGGTTTCTTGGCATGATTATAGCCTTTCTTCTTCTCATTAACCCTTCAATGAATCAGCTGTCTCTCTCTTTCCCCTGGTGCCTGCTCCCTTGCTCTCCGATGGGCTATATCTGCCTAAGGAGCTTCCCAGCTGTTGCTCCTCAGCTCTGATTTCTGCTGCTTCCCTTTCAGCCCTGAAGGGGAAGGGTTCGTGTGGCCAAAACCTGGCCCCGACGTCTTCCAGTTCTATTAGTTCATCTAATAAAAAGGATTACCTCTCCCCACCTCCCACGCCTCCCTTACATAAGAAGCATGAATCATCAGGATCTCAAAAGGGAGAGATCTGCCCCAAAGAGCCAGCTGATGAAGGACCATTGGTAGCCCCGTTATTTAACTGGAACCACAGCCTCGTGCTTCAGCAGGAGCCCAGGCAGGGAGTGGGCTCCATGAGGGCAAGGGCTCTCCAGCTTTCAGGTGGCCCTTCTCCATAGCATCCCCATTCCAGACCTGTTGCACCAGCGCTTCAGCTTGCTCCTGTCAGGTGGGTTTGCAGAGGTTTGTGAGGTTTTATAATATCAAGGATTATTTTTTTTTTTCAGCCTATGTAGAGCAGAATTGGAGCAAAGGCCCCCTGTGAATAGTTTTCTTAAGTCTACTTCTTTTCATTTTTCTTTTTTTTCAAGAAAAGCGATGGTGGCATCCAGCACAGGACGTGCTGGCCACCACAGGCATGTCCTTCAGGAGCTAGTGGGGAGCTGCCTTGCCCTTCTCATTTCAGCTGGAGAAATACAACACTCCGGCAAGTTGCACCAGCGCTTCAGCTTGTTCCTGTCAGGTGGGTCTGCGGAGGTTTGTGAGGTTTTATAATATCAAGGATTTATATTTTGAGCCTATGTAGAGAGAATTGGAGCAAAGCCCCCTGTGAATAGTTTTTTTTAAGTCTACTTCTTTTCATTTTTCTTTTTTTTCAAGAAAAGCGATGGTGGCATCCAGCACAGGACGTGCTGGCCACCACAGGCATGTCCTTCAGGAGCTAGTGGGGAGCTGCCTTGCCCTTCTCATTTCAGCTGGAGAAATACAACACACCAGCAAGTCTCAGCCACCCAGAAACCTGTGGTTGGGCATCGCCATCAGACCCCACATCAGAACCATCTGTTTCATGCGCAGCAGCAAAGACAACATTTTGGGTTTTTCCCCAGCGTGGCAGAACATGGATCAAAGCAAAAAGGCAGGCGAGAATATCTAGGGCCAAGGAAAACTGGGAGGTGCTGAGTTACCAAAAGTACTTTGGATAGGTCGGTGCTACTCAAATGTCAAGGGAAAATGTATGTGTGTGTAGGTGTTTGGCAGCTCTTGTGCTCCATCCCGTTTTGGGATAGCCCAGAGAAGAGAACGGTAAATCCCTAAGATATATATTGTCTGGCTTAAATTTGAGCGGGGTTAAGTGTTTGCGGTGCAGGGGAGGGAAAATGAAACCTGTTCCTCCTTGGCTTCAAAGGCTTGGACTACAAGGGAGCTCTTGTTCAGGTAGGATACAAGGGCAGGGTTTTCCTTCTTCAGCAGAAGCGTGAGGCAGGGTAACGCAGTTGTGGCCAAACTAAATCAATGGCAGCTCTTTTTCCAGCCAAAAGGTCTGTTTATCTCAGCCCTTCGATGCTCCCATGACTCCAGTGGTTTACATTGTGCTGGGTGGCTTAATTTTTCAGAAAATACTTAAGGTTAATGGCCAAATTTAAGATTTAAGGTTAAAGTCCAGAGCACTTTATTCTCCAAAAGGCCTGTCCGTCCTCTCCTCTACATGAATTTCCTCTGCCTGTTCAAATGTTCTTGTTCCTCTTGCAGGAAAGACTCACCTAGTTGTGCTGCAGCTGCAGAAAAACCACAGCACCCAAAAAATGAGGTATTGGTCTTGGTGTAGGCAGCAGGGTGGCTCTTAAAGCAGCTGGGCTGTGCTGAAGTCACTGGGACCCTGCAAGGGGGGGACACAGGGAAAACAGCTTTCTGTGGGATGCGTCCCCCTCCACCCTAAGTCCAGGACTGGGACCCTGCAAGGGGGACACACAGGGAAAACAGCTTTCAATGGGATGCGTCCCCCTCCACCCTAAGTCCAGCTCATCCCAGTCATCTGTCACAGCTCTGGGGTATTTAGAAGCCTGAACATCCCCAAAACTGTGTGAAGACCCAAATTTCAAAATGTTTTCCAGTCACCTAACCACTCAGGTGGCCCGGGGGAAGACCCCGCTGTGTACTCAACCTGATGGGTGGGTGTGAACCATCAGTGAGTGCTTTGACAGACCTGGCCATGGGATACTTTGGAATATCAACCCTGGCATGTACCGGGTTTCTTGAGTGTGAAGAGCACCTGATTTTGACTTGACTCCTCAAACTCGATAGTTTGAGGAAGAGGAGGCTGAGGGTAGACCTCATCACTCTACAACTACTTGAAAGGACACTGTAGAGAGGTTGGTGCTGGTCTCTTCTCTCAGGTAATTAGCGATAGAACAAGAGGGAACGGCTTCAAGCTGCAGCAGGGTAGGTTTAGACTGGACATTAGGAAAAAATTCTCCACAGAAAGAGCGGTCAGACACTGGAATAGGCTGCCCAGGAAGATGGTTGAGTCCCTGAGTGTTTAAGAGACGTTTACATGAGGTGTTGGGGGATATGGTGTAGGGGAGAACTTCGTAGAGTAGGGTTGATAGTTGGACTCAATGATCCCAAGGGTCTTTTCCAACCTGAATGAGGTTATGATTTTGATTCTCAAAGGTGCCAGAGGAGGAAGGGAGGTAGTCTAGCACCAGGGTAGACCTTAGCAGTCTTCCTCTTAGTAGGATATCTGCAGTAGCAGATTGAACACCTTCTGGGTTCTCTTTGTCCCCGCTTTTGCCCAGGCCTGCCAAAATGCAGCTCTCTTTCAGGTGGCTTTCGGGACACAGACACAGCTGTAGGTGCTGGGGCCAGGATCTCTTACCCACTGCCTTGTGGGGTGAGGCAGAACCAAAACACCTCCAGCTCCCCGCTGGCGCAGTGGAAAGCATTAAAGAGCAACATGATTGAGCAGCCCCCTGGTTTGGTTAAAACCTCCAGAGCCATTGTTTCTTTTCCTGTCCTCCAAAAACAGAAGTGTTTTTGGAAAAACTAAAAGGAGCTGAAGCCACCACGTGGTCTGGCCGTGGGGACACATTTGCCACCAGGGGTGTCTTGCTTCCCTGGATGGTGCCACCCAGGTTCCTCCAAGGTCTTAGTGCCGTGCTGCTGCCAGGCAGCCCCACAGCACTGACCATCCCCTGGCCTTGCAAAATTGCCATGGGGGTAGGGGACAGCATGGCCAACACAGCTGTCCTCACCCCCAGGGATGGGACTCGCCAGGAGGAGAGTGATTTGCGCTGAAGCTGCCCCAGAACTGGTGGTTTGAGCCCAGGGCTGGGAGCCACCCTTTGTCCCCAGCCGTTGGTGCAAGGAGAAGCAGCCTGAAGCCTTGTCCTGCAACCTAAATGTGGGAGCTGAGTGAGAGCAAAGGCACAGGGCTGCTGTGCCCAGCAACCCCCTCTTGGAAGGGGGGGACACCCCAAAAATAGAGGTCCCAACCTATCATGTTGGAAGCTGCCCTCAACCCATGGCTGTCTAAGAGCAAACGAGAAATTGCCACCAGACCTGAGAGGGTAAAACGTGGTAAGATGTGGGATGGCCACGTCTTAGCTCTTCCTACTCCATGGCACCTGAGTAGGGAAACGAGTGTCCCCAATGCCAGGATCACCTTCCAAAGGGGACCCCTTGCAGAGCTGGGAAGAGGTGGGTGTGAGGAGCTGGTCTCATCTGCTGTGTGTGGAGAAGCAATGGTGGCAGGAGGACCCTGCCAAGGCCATGGTGGGCCTGTTTTCTTGAGGTGTAAGAGCTCCACTTGGAGCAAGGACTACTCTAGACATGCGCCCCCCCGCGGACCCCCTTCTGCTCCCCTCAGTCACCCAAACTCTGCTTCACACCTCACATCACCGTTGCCATCGCTGACACGTGAGCTCAAACCCGTGGCATTTTGCTAAAAGCCATAGGAAATGGCCATTGAGGCTGAGGGGAGACCTTACTGCTCTCTCCAACTCCCTGAAAGGAGGTTGTAGAGAGATGGGGGTCGGTCCCTTCTCCCAAGTCACAGGCGAAAGGACAAGAGGAAATGGCGTCAAGTTACGCCAGGGTAGGTTCAGGCTGGATATTAGGAAAAATTTTTTCACTGAAAGGGTTATCAGACATTGGAATGGGCTGCCCAGGGAGGTGGTTGAGGCACCATCCCTGGAGGTGTTCAGAAGACAGGTTGATGCAGTACTGGGGGATATGGTTTAGTGATGGTGTTGCTTTTTGTTTGTTGTGTGGGTGTTTATTTTTGTCCAAGTTAGGTTGACGGTTGGACAAGATTATCTTTAAGGTCCCTTCCAACCTTAGAAGATTCTGTGATTCTGTGAAATCATGCCGCAGCCTTTCCTTATGTTTAGCTTAGCAGGCTTTCAGTAGACTCATTCCCTTCTTTTTTTTCTTCTTTTTTTTTTTTTTTTTTAAAACAAAAACAAGCAGCCTGCTATGAAACTCAAACCCTCTGGGATGTTTTTTCAGCCTTGGCTGGAGCTTCTGGAGCTTCCCCCCCGGGGCCGGGAGGCTGCCTCTGGCCGGGGCTCAGCGGGGCGGCTTTTCTGGTCCAACCATTCCTGATCCCAGCCGGCGTGAAGCCCGTCTGTCCCCAGGGCAGAGCGAAGCTCTTCCACCTCAGCTCGCTCGGCGCCGGACGGCAGCGGCATGGGGCTCCGGGGAGCCTGCCTCCTCCTCCTCCTCTGCCTCCTCTCCCTCGCCCAGGTCTCCAACCAGCAAAACGGCAAAGTCCGGCAAAAACCAGCGGCTTCCAAGAAAGGTAAGGAGCTGCGGCGGCACCTTCCTGGTGGGGTGTGAGGGGGGTGCAGTTAGCCTGGTGGTTTGCGTGTTTTAACAGTGCCTTTTTAAAAAAAAAAACATCTAAGAAGCTAATAAAGTGTCTTTTCCCCCTCCTCCGTGGGAAGGATTGCGTAGCCCTTCTGTAAAATAGTGAGGAAATTGAAATAGTTTTTTGGCAGGTTACTGCCTTGAATAAATTTGATGGGACAGCTCAGGCTGAATTTCAGAGGGTAATGTGTTTTTTTTTTATCTCTAATGTTCATCCCAAACCTTTGCTCTGCTAAAATCTCCATCTCTGTGACCCCCACGCCCCTACTCATTCATTTCTCAGAAGGAACCAAGCAGCAGATGACAGGCTGCTGTTGCAGATGTGGCCACGAGAGTTGGCAGATACCAGGAGCGAGATACAACCCATTAAATACCCACATGGCTCTTCAGTATGAACACACTTGCCCCAGGTGTATGTCGAGCCACTCACAAGCTCTGACCACTCAGGCTTACCAGGGGGCAACACACCCAAAAAGGTGCCCAAGGGCTGTTTTCCTTAGTGGTTTGGGCTTTTTTTGTTTATTTCTTCCTTCCTTGCTACCATCCCATCCTTCCCACCCTCCCACCACGGAGCACATCACTGATAGGAAAGGGCAGGTATGGAGGGGGCTTGCATCCCAGCCTGGAGGTGTGTGAGCCCTGCCCGATGTGTGGGGCTGTGGTGGCCCAGGCTTGGACCACTTCTGGTGGGCACTTGGCTGCTTGGAATGAAGCTGGGAGCGAGGAAGAAGCATCCCAGGAATTCGCTTGGCCGGGCTGCTCTCTGCCCTCACCCAGTGCCTATTTTTGTCAGATCCCATCCTTGAGAATTTTTTCCCTTTTTTTCCCCACTAGATCTTTCTATGAACTCACTGTGTATCTGCTCATTCCGCATCTCTGAGCAAAAATACCCCTCTGGCCTGGTATAGGGTACATAGGTTCATTGCACTTACTAAGGAGAGATTGGTAAGTTCCTTAGAGAAATGTTGTTTTTCTGTCCGTGTCACTGGAACTGCTCTTTGTAACCCACTGGTGACAACAGGTGGGAGAAAAATCACCTTTGAGACAGGAAAATGGGGCTCTGATTTTAAAGAGATAGGGGGTTCAACATTTAAAGGAGGGGGGGTTCAACATTTTTTCTCTGTAAATCAAGCCATCTGAAACAGTTGGTGGCAATTTTTCCTGAGAGTTTCAGGGTTTCTTTTCAAAGGAGAGGTCAAGTTTTCTGTGGGGAAAAAAAAAAAAACAAAACAAAAAAAACAAAAAAACAAAAACCAACCCGAAATTGGCATTTTGGGAATGGATGCACCCAGCCCCATGGTAGGTCAGCTGCCCTGCCTTTAGCTGCCTGGAAACTTCTAGCATTTCTTGGTTAACATTTTTTTTTTCTTTCTGATTTTTATCAATGCCAGGGGGTGGGGGAAAGGGAGGAAAGCACTAAAAATCCCTGGCAAGGCTCCTCTTTACCCCCAGCCCCTTGCCATGTCCAAGCCCACCCGCTGCAGGGACTTGGTGGCTACTACCCTGAGTGAGGGCAGGATGGCCCCATCCCATCCCCATCCCAGGCCCCCAGTGCCCCCGTCCCAGTTCATCCCCCATCCTTCACTGGGGAGGTTGGGCAGGGTGAAGCCACTGGAGGGTTGGGGTATTTGGCTGGATTTACTTTTTTTTCATTTCCGCAGCCAAAACCACAAATGTTAGAAAAGAAAATTATTATTTGAGCCAAGCTTTTTTCTCTTTTTTTTTCCCCCCTTTATTTGTTTTGTTTTCTTTTCTTTTTTTTTTCTTCTTTTTTTTTTTTTGTAATTATTGCTTACATTTGGATCTGCTTCAGAACAAAAATGGTGCTGTTTCGACATGAAGAAGCCAAACCATAGCCTTTAGAAAATGCTGAGATAACACACTCCCTTTGCCTGCTGTTGGGTTCTCCCCCCTCTTCTCCCACCCCAAATTGCTTCCCAGTGATTTTCCCAGACTCAGCAGTTCAGCAAACTCTCCCCAAACCCCCATGTCTTGCGGGGGGCAGGGGGTAGATAGGATTTACCCTGCTCCAGTGGCCACAGGGGTCTTGCAGTGGCAGTGGCAGCACTGGGCTTGGACAATGGTGCTCCAGGCTGGGTACCCACCAGCCCTGGGGGGGCTCCCCTTGGTCACAGTGCAGGGGGGTGCCGGGGGCATGGGAGGGAGCATCTTTGGGTAGCTCTCACATGTATTTTTAAGGTAATTGGGGCCAGCCATTGGAGTCCAGATGCTTGAATCAGCAGGTAGGGGCTGATGGGGGTGCCAAAATTCCCCTGTGGTCTTGGGAGCCTGAGTGCTCTTCCCAGAAAATGCCTGCCAACCTTCACACCGAGCAGGTGCCTTCGGTCCCCTCCTCTCATCAGGCTGCAAGAAGGGACCCGACTTTTCCTGCTGGGACACTCAGGGAAATGCCTGGTGGCAGAGGAGACACCAGGGAGGTTTGATGGCAGACACGGCGAAGCAAAGCGATGCTGTGTCCTGCTGGGGGACAGACAGGGACCTGTTTGGCTGGGAGGAAACCAGACGGTGCCTGCCCAGGCAAAGCTAAGCAGCCTAGACATAGATCCAAACTTCATATAGGGATAGCTAATTAATCAAAATGAAGTACAGAGGGATTCGGTTGTTATTCAGCATATAATGAGAACAAAGAGGAATGAGAAAATTTGCAGCATCAAATGTGTTACTGGCCAGGCTTTGGAACCAACAGGCTATTGAGACCCACATCCTTCTGTGAGTCTCCTTTTCATCTCGCCTCTGCCCGTGCTTGATCCTGCTGCTAACCCTTAGCTGCACAAGGACCTGCTCCAGCTCCCCCGGGCAGCCCTGGCAGCCCCCACGCTGGCTTCAGTCACAGCAAAACCAAGCTGAAATAGCCTTGATCACAGGCTTCAGGAGGTGAGTCTTGAGGACGTAACAGCACAGAGTAAAAAAATCTCTGCCAATAGAATAGAAAATGATGGGTTTTTATGTACTTGCGGTACCTGCTTTGTAGCTGAAGTGCAAATTAACCACTCGTGGTTCTCCCCGCGATGTCCTGGTGAATGTGCTCCTGCAGGAACATCTTGTGGCCCAAGTTTTGCAAGCTAGGTGGTGGAAAGGGACAGACTGCGCAGGTAGTTATCAAGGAGGTGGGTCCACCTTGGGTGACGGGGACCCTCTAGATGGGAACCCACCCCAGCAAACCCAGCCGGAGCAGGATAAGGTGCTGCCCCAGTGAGATGCATTGGCAGTGTCCTGCCATGGCCCTTGGATGTTACTTAAACCTGTAGGACATTTGTTCTGCTGCAGGAGAGGCTTGCATGAAAAAAAAAAAGAAAAAAAAAAGAAAAAAAGGCATTAATTAGCTGTTTCCCACAAAGTGTTTTCATCAAAGCCACCAAAATAATAACTAGTGCCTCAGTATTAAGTGAACCCATTAAAGTTAATTGAGCAATTAGTTAAACAGCTTAATGCCCTCCTCCTGATGTGTCTGGCTTTTAATATTCATGGCACCCTGTAATCTGTGGGCTGATGAGTTTGGTCCTCGTCCAAGCAGCTTCCCCACTTACCTGGCTTGGTGCCGCAGCTCCTTGTCTCCTGGACCCTCGACGAAGCCCATCCTACGGTGCTTGTGGGCAAATTGTCCCCTTTCACCCCATGAGGACTACCAGATGCTTATGCCAGGTGAGGTGAAGCAACAGGACCAGCAGAGGTAGCATAATGAACACAAACACTTCAACGTTCAATCTTCCACCACCTCCAAGGCACAATGGTCCTTTTGCTCCTGGACAGGAAAAATCCAAGTACCGATTAATTGGAGCTGTTGCAAAAATCACAGAATCACGGAATTGTTGGAGTTGGAAGGGACCTTCTAGAGATCATCTAGTCCAACTCTCCTGCCAAAGCAGGGTTGCCCAGAGCACATCACTCAGGGCTGCATCCAGGTGGGGCTTGAAGATCTCCAGAGAAGGGGACTCCACACCCTCCCTGGGCAGCCTCTTCCAGGGCTCTGCCACCCTCATGCTAAAGAAGTTCTTCCTCAGATTTGAATGGAACTTCCCATGTTCCAGCTTGTGCCCGTTGCCCCTCGTCCTGTCGCTGGGAACCACTGAAAAGAGTCTGGCTCCATCATCCTTCAGCCCACCCTGTAGATACTTATAAGCATTAATAAGGTCTCCCCTCAAGCCTTCTCTTCTCCGGGCTAAGGAGTCCCAGCTGTCTCAGCTTTTCCTCACCAGGGAAATGCTCCAATCCCTCCATCATCTTAGTTGCCCTCCACTGGACTCTCTCCAGTAGTTCCCTGTCTCTCTTGAACTGGGGAGCCCAGAACTGGATGCAGGATTCCAGTTGTGGCCTCACCAATGCAGAGCAGAAGGGGAGAAGCGACACCCCCAGCAAGAGGTAGGTTTTAGTAGCAGGCTGCAACCAACTCCCTGGCCAAGGAGGTGTCTTCTTGCAGCAGGAGAGCAGCTCTGGCCGGTTTTTTGGGCACCTGCACTGGGGATGCTGAAGGCAGAGATGGGGCGGAGTTAAAAATAATACAATAAATCCTATTCAGCAGCAGCTTTAAGCTCCCAACAAAACACTACTATGCAGCAGAACTGCTGCTCAGGAAGGGCAGCATCATACAGTGCCCTCCTGTATTTTTGGGAGCTTGACCCCAGTGCAGCACCATGGCAGGTGAGAGCCCTACAGAGGGGCTCCAGAGCTGAGCCTGCGCTTTGCAGCCCCCATCCCAGTGCTGCAGCAGCAGCCCAAGGGGAAACCACCACCCCACGAAGCCCCACAGGGTGCAAAGCCCCAAAACCCAAACTGGGAGAACTGGGTTGGTGGTGGAACCAGGCTAGCGAGCAAATACTGTGATGGATGTACAAGGGGACAGGCTTTGACTTTGCAGATCCCTTTTTATAGACTCATAGAATCATTCCAGTTGGACAACACCCTTGGGATCATCGAGTCCAACCATCTACCCTACTCTACAAAGTTCTCCCCTACACCATATTCATCAACACCACATCTAAACGACTCTTAAACACATCCAAGGATGGTGAGTCAACCACCTCCCTGGGCAGCCTATTCCAGTGTCTGACCACTCTTTCTGTGAAGAATTTTTTCCTCATGTCCAGTCTAAACTTACCCTGTTGCAGCTTGAAGCCATTCCCTCTTGTTCTATCACTAATTACCTGGGAGAAGAGGGTCTTTCTCTGAGGTTAGAGAAACAGGAAGTTTTGATGATAGGAACAACTTCAGCTGCTCCCCAGGGGGACGCAGCTGATGTTTATGCTCCTGCCTTGGTTTCTCCAACAGATGGTGTGAACCTCAAAATGATTGAAGACCTGAAGGCCATGATTGACAACATCTCTCAGGAGGTTGCTCTGCTGAAGGAAAAGCAAGCACTCCAGACAGGTAAAGGACTCGCTGAAGAAGGCATGGCTTTTGCTTTGAGAGAGGAGCTGCTTATAAAGCGGCTGCAATTGCTCCACACACTTTAGCAAGAGATGCCCAAGCGCCCTGTGACAAGGCATCCATCCCAGGGAGAGAGGTTGTGGGATCAAAGTGTGGGCTCACTGGAACTGCTCCAGGCCGATGAAGCTCCTCAAGCAGTTAATGCCATGAGTTGTGCCATGTATGGTCCCTCCTCTTTATGTGCTAGAGGTTCCCATTTGTAAAGCTGTGAATATTTCCATGACACTAAGCCAGATGTTCATTTTTCTTTATGAATCAGAGGGATGGATGATGGATTATTCTCTGCTTCAGTCAGATGTAGCTTACTCTTTTGTTTGAACCCCAATGAAATGGTGACCTGGTCTCTTATACCCCAGTATTGCTCAGGGAACCTCATGGAGGCCAGTCCCACCATGGCTTCATTGAACACATACAGAGGACAGTCCTAAAATGCCCATCTTTCAGTCATGTTCCACAGTTACTCTGTGCGAACTCCACTGACATCAATAGGAAACAGAAATGAGATGAAAATGCAAGTTAAGGAGAATTTTATCCTTAAAAAAAAAACAAACCCACAAGCAAAATCAAGGCTTTAGTTCCAAGCTCACATTCATTGGTTTGGGGATTAATGCATGGCTCTGATTAGTTATTGTTGGCTACGGTACCCTGCACTCTTAGAGTTTAGAGCTTAAAAAGAAAAAATTTTAAAATTGCTATTCTTAACAATAAAAGCAGAAATTTCCTCTGGAGACCTCAAGCTATGCAAGCGCAACACTTCTGATCAAAGCCGATTAGAAAAGACATTTTTCTCATGCTTGCATAATTAAGATGATTGAATTGAAATGGCGAGGCTTTTTCCCAAAACACTTCAACACTCCCAGCAGCGCCCATCACAGACCTTCCCTCAAACAAACCCATGGGAGAAAGCATAGCAGCTGGGGAAGAGCGAGGCAGAGGTTGGGGGACCATGCTGTGCCTCTGCTCCAGCAGCAGCAGAGCCCAGGAGGGTGACAGGGGCACCCTGAGGTCCATTTTTTCCCCAACAGCTTGTGGATGGGGAGGACACATCCCCACAACCATGCCCTGTGTATTTCACTGAATTTCACTGAATTTTTAGAGTTGGAAGGGACCATAGAGATCATCTAGTCCAACTCCCCTGCTAAAGCAGGACCACCCAGAGCTTGTCAGAGCATGTTACTCAGGACTGCATCCAGGCGGGTCTTGAAAATCTCCAAAGAAGGGGACTCCACAACCTCCCTGGGCAGCCTCTTCCAGGGCTCCGTCACCCTCACTGTGAAAAAGTTCTTCCTCATATTCAAGTGGAACCCTTTATGTTCCAACTTGTGCCCATTGCTCCTTGTCCTCTCACTGGCAACTACTGAAAAGAGTCTGGTTCCCTCCTCCATCAGCCCGCCCTTGAGATACTTGTAGGAGGGAGAGGGCTCCTGGGAATGCCGTGCGGCTGAGAGTCACTCAAGACTCTCAAGCCCAAGAAATGAAGTTGTAATTTGGCTGCCACTGCCTCTTCCTGGCTGCTGTTTTTTAAACCCAATTCCCATTTCATAATTTTTTTTTTTTTTTTTTG